TAAACTTTCTAAACAAAGGCAGTGACTGTAGACATGGAAAGAAGAGTCCAAATTTGAGAGGTGGTTTTTAAAGCTATATCAAGGGTAGGCAAACTGTGACCTGTAGGCCAAATCTAGCCACTTTATATATTGCTTTTGTAAATCAAGTTTTATTGGAACTCAGCCAAGCCCACTTGCTGATGTGCTGTCTGTAGCTGCTTTTACTGTATAATGGCAGAGTTGAGTCATTGTAACAAAACCATATGGCCTGCAAATCCAAAAATGTTTATTACTATCTGGCCTTTTACTAAAAAAGTGTACCAACCCCTGAGTTAGATCAGTAGGATTAGTGACTGGCGGTAAAGGGTGAAGGGAGGAATTAAGACATTTTTTTTTTCTCATATCTCCCCACCATGCCTAATCCAGAGCTTTGCTCCCAAGTGATGGCATTGACCCACAGGCCTGCAGGTACTTAGAAAGAAATACCGTGTATGTGGCACAGGAGGAAAAGGGAGGCTAAAAATTACCCCATATGGGAAAAGAGACCCAAGGAAGAAAGGACAAGGGGCCGTAGCTGCGAGCCAGAAGGGACCTGAGTCCTGCTTGTCCCTGCTGAAGCCCTCATGCTGTTCTCTCTTGCAGTCATCCAGTTTGGTTTCGTCACCCTCTTTGTGGCCTCCTTTCCCCTGGCACCTGTGTTCGCCCTCCTCAACAATGTCATTGAAGTGCGGCTGGACGCCAAGAAGTTTGTCACGGAGCTGAGACGGCCGGATGCTGTAAGAACCAAAGATATCGGTATGTGCCCCTCTTAGAGGTCCCACCAGGCCCATCCTTCTGTCATTCTGTCCCCTGTGGACACAGTCACACCACACCAGGAATCAAGAGGGCTGCGAAAGCCCCTCTTCCCTTTGGGTCCCTCATCCTCGTATCCTGAGGTGCAGGGACGCCTTCTGAGACCACATTATCCACCCCCACTTGTGATCTGAGCTTCCAGACAGGGGGGCTACCTAAGCCTTTCCAGACAAGCCCATTCTGGGGGGCCCAGCAAAGCTGCTCGGTAGTTCACCTGCGAAACATCACCCGGAGCTTCAGCCTTGTCATCACTGGGCCGAGGGCGGGAGTGAGCCAGACGCTCTCTTTTGTGTCTTGTAGGAATCTGGTTTGACATTCTCTCTGGAATTGGCAAGTTCTCTGTTATCAGCAATGTAAGTACTTACATTCATGACGCACTCGCTCTGTGGGAAGGGCTTCCAGAGAAGCTGAGGTCTTCAAAGTGGGAAGCCAGCCCTTGCACCTCCCCAGCCTTTTCCATTTGGAGCTTTATTGGTGACAGCACTCTGGTTAACAGCTCACAAATGCCTTGTAACTCATCGTGCTGTCGCTAAGGCTGTGTAGGTTTATTTTTAATTTCACAAGGAGAAAGGTAATTATCCATCAGAATGCATACCTTGGCCCTGGCAGTCAAAATCAGATCTCTCCTTGGAGCCAAGAATGATGAGGAAAGAATGCTACATATCTATTCATCTCTTTCCTTTCTTATTCTACTCCTGAGTTAAACAATGCATGGAGCATTGCCCAGGCTGCAGTCCCTAATTACAGTTCCTCCAGGTTGTCAGTGCAAAGTCTTAATTATCTCCAAGGACTCTGGCACTGCGTAGGTTAAGATAGGACATAGAAGAAGAAGGGTCCCACCTGTGGTTACCTCCTTAACTCTCTTGCCAGACGTGTCTACACTGCAGAGGAAATCCTGCTGGGCCCCAGCCAGCTCCTCTTCTGCTGTGTTCTTATATGGACAGTGGCCAGGAAGGGCCTCCTGTCCCACCTCCCAGGAATGTATCAGCCAGCTCAGTGCACACCAAGAAAGCCATGGCCCTTTTCCCTTGGGAGGCAAACAGTGATTTGACCTGATTTCCTACTAAGATCACATAAAATGGCTGGAAGGTGTGAGGTGAGGCAGAGAAAATCAGCCCCCTGCATTTTGGATGTTGTGATGTAGGAAGTGCACATCTCGAGGCTTAGAAATAAGGTGCAATTTGGAAAACAGATCAGTCTGCTACTTTGAAGTTGTGTCTGCTAGAACAGAGGCCCCGAGTATTAATCACTTTGCAGTTACAGTACGAAATGACATGCAGTCTTACTTCCCTGGCCTCTTTAAGCCTTGTTTACTTATCTGTCAAACGGGAGATAATAATAGCACCCACCAAATAAGATCATTTGGGACATTAAATGGCATGATGAAAGGACATGTAACAAGGGCTCAGTAAGTTGTAGCTGTGATTACGATGTTATTCCTTCTCAAATATGGTTCTGGCCATTCACATTCACATACACATTTAGAAAACAATATCTGAACGACATTTTGGTAAAGGGCTTTAATTGTTGGTGCAGGATGCAATATAAACACCTGCCAGAAAGATTTAAGACTTTCTTTGCAGAAAGTACCTCTGTGTTCAAATATGCAATCATTCATTTGTCATTTGGTTTGCTCCATGGACATTTATAGAGCGCTTAGATATGCCAGACACTATGTTGGGTGTGTGTGGCTCCATCTAGCAGGACCTGTTTCTTTCTCCGCTGCGTCTCCGTTTTCTTAAGTAAAATGGATACAAGAATAACTTCTATTACATGACTTGCTAAAAAAGTGTTGAGAGATAATGATCAAATGAAACAAACTGTGGAATCATCTTCTTGGTATTTCTGGCTTTCTGGTACCACTCAGGGGCAGAAGTACATGGGCATTCCATTTCCTTGCCCATTACACTTATGTAGTACCCTCATCACTATAGGTAATTTTCCCAGGAAAGCGTGCACTCTGTTTGGGCTTGCTCAACAGCAATGTCACATATCTCAGAGGTGGTCTAATCCTTCCAGCACCAAATGGTCCAAACTGACTTAGCATCCTTTGCTGCAGTGGTTGACTTGTGCTCTTTTGGCAGCCACTGTCTGGTGGACTTATTATATTTGTACACATCAAAGATGGAAAAGGCAGGTGACTCAGCTGTGTGAGCTCAGGGACCTGCACATGCTGTATGAGCTTCTGTGTCAGTCAGAGCAGCTCCTTTAGATGGACAGTCTAAGAGTGGACAGTCCTTTTTAGCATCAATCCTGGCTACTCAGTGCTTATGGTTCTGTCCCTCAGGCTTTTGTCATTGCGATCACCTCCGACTTTATCCCCCGCCTGGTGTACCAGTACTCCTACAGTCACAATGGGACTCTGCACGGCTTTGTCAACCACACCCTCTCCTTTTTCAACGTCAGCCAGCTGAAGGAGGGGACGCAGCCAGAAAACTCACAGTTTGACCAGGAGGTTCAGTTCTGCAGGTAAAGTAATCTTCAGGAGGAGGGCAACAGAGGACCAGAGGCAATAGATCCAGATAATTATGGGGATGACCTAGAATTACAACACTGCACAACATGACGGTGTTTTAGACAATAGACCACATATATGGTGATTGTCTCCTAAGGTTATAATACCATAGTTTTACCATACATCTTCTGTATTTAGATATATTTAGGTACACAAATACTTACCACTGTATGACTGCCTACAGTATTCAGTACAGTAACATGCTGTGCAAGTTTGTAGCCTGGGAGCAATAGGCTATCCCTTATACCCTAGGTGTGTTGTAGGCTACATAGCATCTAGATTTGTATAAGCACGTTCTGTGATGTTTGCGAAGTCACCTAAAGATGCGTGTCTCAGAACATATCCCCATCGTTAGGCAACACACAACGTACATCATTCTCCTTTCCCTCTGTCTCCTGCTCTCTCTCTCTGCAATTGTTATAAATCAATTTTGATGACTCAAAAAATATTTATGGACTGCCTTTTTCCAGACCCATGGAGCAGACAAAGAGCCTTGTCCTCACCATCAAGGGGGTTATGGTCTGGTTGAGAAGAAAATAAGCAGAACAGATAGGAAATAGTAGGTTATTTGCTGAGCTTATGTATGGACCATGAGCATTGTGGGTGCTCAGAGGAGAGGGAGATTACTTGAGGGACTAGAATGGAAAGGGTGGGCCTCCTGGAGGGGCTGCTAGGAGCTGTAAGACAGAAAAGAAAAGCATTCTAGGTGGGGAGTCATCATGGGAAAAGTCATGGGGTAGGGACAAATGTGGGCTGTTGGAGAAGCACTTGGGGCTAGGTGATATGGTTAGCAAGGAGACACACAGCAAAGGGATTAATAAAGGAAATACAGTAAATGTAGAAACTCCTACGACAGCATAAGCCAAATGGTTGTTGAATTTGAATAGATGGGATAAAGTACCTAATGGGAAGTCCTGCAATCTGACGGGAATTATAATGTGATGCAATAGGAAGGCACTGGACTTTTGTAGTGTTGGGGAATTACAGGATAAAGGGAAGGTTTAGGGAAATTGATCTGGTCTCAGTGAGGACGATGGGCTAGAGTTGGTAGGACCCAGGGAGGGCAGCTGGGCTACTGCATCATTTAGACATGAACCGTGCTGGGCATAGACCAGGGTGGTGGGAAGAATTAAGAGGAGGGGAGAAGATGAGCTGTTTCACATGAAATATTGCAGAGTTGGTGACAGTAGACATAGGAGAGTGGCTGAGCTAGGATTATCTCCAGTCTGGACTGAAGTCAGAGGACTGGGAAGTGGTCACATTGATAGGGAGAGGGAAGATGCTGAGAGAGTCTACTTTTATGCTACATATGATGAATTTGATTTCAATCATGTTACATTTAAAACGATGTTAAGACATCCAAGGGGCCATTTTCACCCAACTCCTTGCCACACTAAGCTGGGCTTCTGGAGGCATCCGGCTTAGGGTCCGGATTGAAGGCCATCGCCACAGGGGCCGCCGAAGCCCCAAAATGGAAAACTCTCCATTACTTACCCAAAAGGGCAACTACAGAGAAGACGAGCACAGGGGAATAATTTATTCAACCTGTTTGTACCCTGGTTAAAAGAGGGTCCCAATAAAGCACTTGATGCAAGATCCTACCTCATATATATAAATCAGAATAATTAATTACACCAATAACAAAGGAGAAGGTATTGTGGGACCAAAATAGGGCTTTCTTAGACCATCCCCAATAATATTTGATGAAATATGAAAGCAGTGTTTACAGCTGTGTTTGCAGCGGTGATGACCCTGGGCATGTCTGCCATGCTTTCCTACCTGCGACCCTGGTGCCCAAGACCAGCCTTTTGTAAAACAGCCACTTAGGTTCAGATTTGCGGTCTGAGACCATGAACGAGAGAACACCAGTTGGTTTTCCCAACCTGGGTGACTGAGTTAACCAACTGTACTAATCTGTGGTTTAAATAGAAGGGTATTCTGGTTCCAGGAACAAAAACTTCAGGGTTTCACTCTAGTCAACCAAGAAAAGATAAAAAAAGAGGAACCAGACCCAAAAGTGGATGAAGAAATTTACTCATAAGTGTCCATTTATATTAGCCTAGTGTTTCAGGATTTTTCACATCTGGGGCTATAAAGAGTCTGACTCTTATACTAAAATCACATTGCAGGCAGATTTGCTGCCAGGCCACGCACTGCCTGGGGGCCCCTCTGCATGGTTCGCACGCTAGACTGTCTGTCCATGGTGCTGGACTTGGGTCTGCAGACCCCAACGACATAGTTCCACAGCGTGGTGGGTCAGGAACAGCTCAAGGCCTTTCCAGTAGCATCTAGGTCTTCTCTAGGCAGGGTCTAAAACTCACATCTAAGAGCGCAGGTCTCCACCTACATCTCCAGCGAGAGGCAGCACCAGTGTGACTTGTCATGTGTGAAAGCCAGGCTCACATCATCTGTTTCTTTAGTTGCTCTAGAAACACTTGTCCTCAAGGAGCACAAGGGTCTCTGATCTTGCTCTTGACCATCAGATTTTCCACTAACACCTGTGAGTGTGCTTTTCAGATGTATCACTGATCAAACTGGCTTAAATTAATAGGGATTTTAATGGTCCCTATGGAAAGTTGAGGGTAGGTCTAACCTCAGGTAAGTTTTTATTCAATCCAGTCTGCCCAAATCCAGTCTCTGCCCACCTCCCAGCTCCACTGCAGTCAATGTTGACTGTGTTTTTGAGTTCCATATGATCGCCAGGAACTGTGGTGAGAAATAAGGAAAATGGGTGCTATTCAGCCAAAACAACCGATGTCCAGGACACCAGGTGTTGTGATTATGTGTGGATCAGATTGAGCTTTCTTGTATCTGCCTTCTGAGTTGCTGGATTTTTCCAGCCAGCTGTGAGGCTCTGATAATCGTCTCCCCATTATTTCCATGCAAGTAGATAAGATCATGACTTGGTTGTGGCCCGTTTTAGAAAAAAGTCTGACACTGAGTGGCAGAATTATCAGTGGGCACATGCATAGCAAGTGCACTTTCATTCTGTATTTCTGCCAAGAAAATTTATTTGCAGAAAACAAATCATCCCAAGATCAAGCTGAAGTGACTTTGAAGCATCCGTCATTTTTGCTTCCTCTCTCTCAGTACCAGTGAGGATTACAGATTCATTAGGCAAATACTTTTGAGATGCTACTAAAGGCTTGGCCTTGGTTATGTAATAGGGAGCAAGACCTAGTGCCTCCCTCGAGAACTCTAGATGGAGCAGGCAAGTAAGCAAACACGGAATTAAAATTAAAATAGAGCTTTAATGATTGACAATAGGATAACAACAGAGAGCTAAGGGATCCCTGAGGAGGGAGGCCCTGCACCTAGCCCAGACTTAAGTGTTGAGGGGATGTTTCAAGGGAGATGAAACCTGAAGAATGGCCATGGAGATGATCACATGGAAACTCCCCACTCATGTGGCCACATCAGCCTGGCTGGTAAGCAGGGTGGGGAGGGTGGTGGGCCACGGGGCAGCAAGGGCTGTGTCAGGTGGTGATGGAGGTTCCGAGAGAATACTGTATTCCAGGGAGATAGGCTCAGGTGAGAGGGGTAAGCTATGAGAGAAGAGGCTGAAAGAAAAACAAACTCCATATTAAGGAGAGGATGCTGGTCCTGTTGAGGTGCGTGGAGCCTCTCGTAGGGCCACAGGGTACCACTGCAGGGGTTTCAGAGGGCAGTGATGAGATCAAGCTTTTTATTGGTGTTATGTCTGTGCCTACAGTGTGAAGACTATGGGGTTACACTGAGGGTTCCGTTTAACATAAAGAGATGCCCTACTGTGAAATGTAGGTAGATGTTCAGAAAATAGGGTCAGCAGGTGATCTAGACATAATATGTCAAATAGGCGTGCTCTGGGGACTACGTTTCCTAGATTGATAAGGGTTGTTGATGGAAATCTCTGCCTCATGTGAGTCCCTTCCACTGCCTGCTGTGTGAACTTGTCTGGGTCACTCAATTCTCTGGAGATTTAGAAAGCAAAGGCATAACCTCTATGATGTCTTTCTGAGTCAGGAATTGAGATGCTTGAGATAATTCCATATACATTTATATGTACATGGAAGACAGAGAGAGAAAGAGAGAGGGGAGGAGGAGGAGAAGGGACTGTGATAGAGGAATATTTTGAGAAACGGAGATAACTCTTCAGCTAGTCCTAGAGCCAGTTAAAACTGCTTCCGTGGTGGGAAACGAGGTTTGCCATGATTTTCTGGCAAATAACGTTGGGAACTTGTTGACCCTTCTTATTCTTAGCTTTCAGTGACCTCTGGAGATAAATGTGGTCAAATAAAACTGAGGTCTGCGGCTCCAACCCAGCCTCGCCAGGGATAGAGGTATCTTAAAAATAGCAATAAAAGTTAGGAGAAGTCTCCGGCTGCCCGTTTGAGATGCATTCCCAGCATTTTGGAGCGATGCTTGCCTCAGTCATCTGACTGCTCTGGCAGGGCTGCTCCGTAAACAGTCCCGTGACATCAATCTGCAGGCATGATTAGCAACCATTTGACAGGGTCGAGGGGCCGCCACATCCTGGAGGACGAATGTGGGCTTGACTTCCCAGCTCAGCTGGAAGAGGGCAGAGAGATCTTGTCTCAGAGCTCGAAGAGCCTACCTGGGCATGGTCGACCCAACGGGTCTGCTTGGAGGTGTTTGTTGAGCTTCCAGCAGCAGCTTCTGTGGATGGCTCCTGCCAGGTGTTCCTGCAGGTCCTAAGGGCTTGCATACCTCATATCCTGAGAAAAGCCTTTGAAGAGGGTGCTCCCTTCCAGCCCACGGCTGCCTCCCATCTGCTCCCCACCGAAACCAGAGGCTGTTAGCTTTTCTGGGTGTCGCCTTTCCTGATTCTTATCAACCACTGGACTGACCTGCTACTCATTAGTTCCTAATTGCCTGTACTGTTTTCCTTTGTTAAGGGCCAGTTCCAGAAGGCAGTTTTAAGTAGCTCAGATGGTATGAAAATATTGTATGTAGTTGTGTTCAGCATTAATATGACATTAATTTCCACCGGGGCTATTAAAATGTTTTTTACACGCCACTATTTGGAGTTGAGAAATGCATTTACTAGCTGATTTATTACATCACAAAAGCTCATTAAAAAGCTGTTACTGATCGTTAACTTCAGCACCATCCCTGCCCACGTGATTTTGTGTTGTGATGAATTGTGGCAGATGTCACTGTCACGAGTCACCCTGCAAGTGAGGATAGGATGAGGACATCTGAGCCCTGAGTCTCTCTCTGTAGCTCAGTTTTTTCATCTGTAAAAATGGGGGCTTTGGAATAAAAAATCTTCAAAGATGCTTTTCGTGTTTTTTTTTTTTAAACTTCAGGTTTAATGACATGTCATTTATTAATCTAGTTCTACAAAAATTCTAAACATTACAGGCAACCACTCCACCTCTGTTCTGCCTCCACCCTAACCCCTGCCCAACCCAGGCATCCTTCCGACAGTAATAGGGTTATACTTATGGGTGAATGTTTTCTAGGCATTTTTCTATGCATTAACATAGTATTAACTTTGTAGAACTTTTAAGGTATTGTTTTCATTTTACAATGAAAGATATTTTGAGTTAATGGAAATCTTATTTAAGTCATGTACAAACTCAATTCAATCAATGTGATTTTTCACAAAGTTAGAACAATCTAGATAAAATATTAACATAATTTTAATGCTAAACTATTATGTTGATTTCTGTGTCAGTTTCATATATGAGTCTGTCAAAATTAACACTATAATTTTGCTCAGGAAAGCTTAATATAAAAATGTACTTGAATCAACTGTGTATTGCCATTAATTACATTCATCTTTTACCGTTTTGAACTTTTTAATTATAAAAGTAATTCCATAGACACATATTGTGTATGTATATGAGAAGAAAAGAGTCACTTCTCAGCTCCCACCCCAGCTGTTCTATCCCAGAAGAAACTTGTGTTCATTTTCTGCAGAAGCTCCAGAAATCATATTCACATAGATTGTCTTATTTAATTCTCACAGCGTCTTCCTTTAACATGCAAGGTATACGCACACACAGATACGCACGCACATCTATTCATTCACTCCTGGCTGGGATTGAGACAGCTCCTGTATGCTTAGCACTGGGATACACATTTTGGGAGTTGCACTCTGTAGATCCGGGACCTAGGTTTGGAAACGTGGAATGACTTCCTCGGGCTCTTCTAGGTAGTAAGTGGCATAGCTGATCCGGATGCAGACTAGCTTTTTTTTTAGACAGGCTAGTGGTCTCGTTATTGGAAGTCTCTCCTTATTAGAAAACTCAGGGGAACTCTCAAACTTTATGTTAAGCCTCAAGGAAAATGAAGGAGGACTGGAGGGGTGAGGGTGAGATCCAGGAATGTCCCTAAAATAATATGCCGGGGATTAAACTCTGCATCTCTTTGGGGGGCCACGGCTGGCAGCTGCAGGAGGCTGCCCAGATGTAGGGGCTCACCCAATGCTGGGGAATTCAGTGGGACTTTGGGAGACCCGAGCTCCCCAAGCCATGGGAACAGGTCTGTTGTGGAGCTGTCTTGTGGCCTCCACCCACCAGCCAGCACTTGCCCATTTCATGCTATTTACCTGGACAGAGGTCCTGAGAGAAGCCCTGTGCAGCTGTGCCCTTGGCTGACTCCTGATTTGCACTAAAACTTACAGCATTTAGTGCTTGCATGCTCAAAAATCCTCCTGGAAAGCTAGGAGGAACTGGAAGCCGTGGTCTACATGCTCTGTCCTCTTTTAACCGAAAAGGTGTATTCCATAAGTAACTTCCAGTAAAAAGAGAAAGAATAGCTGCTATTTATTGGGTCCTCTGATGGGCCAGATAGTGTGCGGAGCACGTGGCGTTGACCCTCCGTCTTCAGAACAACTCTGTGGTGGAAAGTTCAGGCCCATTTTATAGTTGAGAAAGCTGGGCATCAGAATATTAGGTAACTTGCAAGAGGACAGAGAACTACAGTGCTGGACGGGGCTTTCAACCCCTCACCTGCTGCCTCCAAAGCACAAACTGTTGCCAGTGCTAAGCACTGTGTTTAGAAACAAAACACTCAGCATCACAGTGGTGGAAATAATTAGGTTGATTAGCCACTCTCTTTGGTGAACACTTCTATTCTTAAAGCTAATTATCTCTTGGTTTAATTAGTGTCTTCTAAGTTACTCAGTGAAACATTTGATAAGCCTGACTTCTTAGGGTAAAATTTAAAAACAATTGTGAAATCTGAACTTACGTTGGAATGTAAACAGCGAGTCCTTTACCTGGTGGTAGGGGCTTAGGAGAATCAAGGTTTTTCAAACTATGAGTCATGGTTCATTAGTGAATTATGAAATCACTTTAGTGGGTCATGATTGGCATTTTAAAGAATAGGGTGGGTTAGGATCAGATAGAGTAGAATAGGAAAATACTAGTGCATTGCACACAGCAAAGTATGTTTTGTGTAATTTTTGTTGCAGTCTGTGTATGTGCATGAGTGTAAAATGTATTTCTCACTGTAGGTCATACTTTTTATAAAGTTAGCTTTGGAAAGAAATGTGAGCAGATGAATATTAAATTGCTCACTGTTCTTTTCTGTAGCATGGCTTACTGTCAGTTCCTAACAGAACCACACTTAGCCTGTCTGCATTCGAGCTATTTTCTGTACAGATCTCTGTGTTAATCTTTCTGCAGATCCTCGATTAGATGGATATGCTTGTTAGACTCGAAACATGTTTTAGACACTGAGGGAGGACAAAGTGACATTTCCAAAAGCTGGGGTGAGTTAATAGCAGAGGTGGAACCAGAATTAGATTATTTATGGATTCTTTTCAGACTGGAAAAAAGAGGGGTGAGCAGTGGCTCGCATACTGAGGTCAGCGAGCAGCTGTTCCTGCGGAGATGGAGCTAGAGAACAAGAGAAATGGACTTTGATTGTAGCAGTAGGGACTGGGCTGAACCTGGGGAAGGATTTCCCCATGGTAAGCAGTGTGTGTGTGTGCACACATGTGCGTGTGTGTGTGTGTGCGCGCACACATGTGCACGTGTGTGTGTGTCACCCTCCTCTGGAGGTCTCTAGAAGAGTGAGATAAATTGCCTGCTGCCATGGCGTCCTGTCTGGGGGCAATGGGAGGATAGGTGAGTCTGAGGTTTTTCCCACATCTTGATGTTCTCATTCACTTAGCCACGCTCTCCCTCTCTCCCATCAGCAAGGATAATCTGGAGCTGGCCGTGTTTCTGTCCTCAGCTGAGGGTGGTTATGATGAATCCTGTGGTGCTCTGCTGGGCTGCAGTTAGCTTTGCTTTTCATCCGGATGTCAAACCAAGCGTGCGGCAGCTGTGATCAGCTGTTGGGAGAGGGGGAGTCGGGCAGGGAGAGGGTAGCTCCTGGCCTCCTGCCAAACCCTAGTCGAGTCCCCAGTGTCCACTTCTCAGTTGTGTCTTTCTGTTGCTGACTCTTATCACTGCACCCTTTTCTATCTTTGTATGTGCATCTCTTTTCCTCTTCCTCTTCTTCTCTTCTTCTCTCATCTCTTTGGACAACGGAAAACCAACAGGCTTTTATGTGGGCCTTTTAGAGCAGCTGATTCATTTATGGCAGGAGAAGGACCAAAGAGCACCTACTTCTGAATGCCCCTACATTGTGGCCATTGGTAAGGTGCCCTATGATAACGGAAAGAAAGCCCAGATTCAGCCAGACTCGCATTCCTACCCTGACTCTGCCTTTACTGGTCACGAGACCTTGGCCACACACTTCAACTTCTCCAAGCCTCAGGTTCCTCCTATGTTATGCTGGGGTAACAATGCCTGCCGGAGGATGCTATAGTGAAGATGAAATGTGAAACCTTCCAGAAAAGCCCTTTGCTCAGGGATTGACCTGGGCAGAGTCCCTGCCTGCCTTCCTTGGCAGCCACTATCACTGCTTGGTAGCCTGACACCACCCACCTCTTTCTGTAGCCCAGGACTTGCTTTGCTTTTATTGAGCAGCAAAGAACTGTTGAATTCCATGGAAAAACTGTTCCAGGAAGGGTCATAGTTCTGGTACCAGCCTCTTGTCATTATTCCAGGCTTAGAAAAATGTGAGTCTGAGGAAATGAGCTAGTTTTCACATGAATCATTCTGGAATGGGGGTGAAAAGGCAAGGGTGAGGGAAAACTCAAGGCTTCTCTGTGGGTCTGAGAAAGAGGCATGAGCTCACGTCAGGCGTTAACATTTTATGGTTTAAACCGTGCAGACAGATCAGGAACATGATTAGCAAAACAGAATACTGATCAACTATGATGCTTCATGACCCTCCCATCCCAAATTCACTCAGCCTCCAGCTTGGTCTGGATCAGCCTTCTTTCTGGTTCCAGAATGCAGCCTTGAAACAAGGCCAGCCCCTCTGGTGGCCATAGTCCTGAAGCATCTGGAAGGGGAAGAAGCCCGAGACTGCCTGCTGGTGTCTGCCTCTTCCCCGAGCCCCCCGGCTGCAGAGCACCATGCAGGGTGTCTGGGTCTCCCCTACCCACACAGAGGTCACAGGCTAGTGGGAGGCCCAGGTGGACCCACTGGCCTGGACTACCCTCAGATGCCCTGGGCTCCTTCGGGAGTTGAAGCCTGACACCAAAGTAAGCTTTGGGAGCTATTGGAGAGAGTCGTAGAAACATCTTTTTAGGACATTTCTAGGCTGACATTGGCTTTTTTGGACTTCAGTCCTTTTTGGAAATTTGTTGGTTAGGCCATAGATTTTGCCCACTTGCCCCTATTTCCCAAGTCAATGCCAAGGGCATGCGTGCCTGATGCTCTAGCCAGCCCTTGAGGTTTCACCCAGAGAATTACCACCCTGTTCTCCGTCCCCTCCCGATCTTAACACCACATTTCTCTTTGGGCAGGTTTAAGGATTACCGAGAGCCGCCATGGGCCCCGAACCCTTATGAGTTTTCCAAACAGTACTGGTTTGTTCTGTCCGCCCGTCTGGCTTTTGTCATCATCTTCCAGGTGAGTTGTTGGGATAAGGAACAGCCCATTCGAATCCGAGCTGCAGGGGTAAGGATACTGTACTCATTTCTTGCACCTACCTCCAGGTTCCCGTGGTACTCTGTGACGTGAGAAAGCTTCATGTGTGGCAGGCAGAAGTGAGGGCTTCTTTCCTGGGTGAGGCAGGGGGACTCTTGAGAGGGCTTTCTTTAATGGGTGGACTTTGCAGACAGAGAATAAAACACAGTGTAAGGTTACAAGACAGATGTGGAGTAAGTTGCAGGGCGGAGATAGATTCCTGTTTAAACCTAAGGCTAATAAAGGAAAGGGGCCATTGAAACCAGAGTCCCAGCCTGGGGCAGACAAACAGCCCCATCTCATCTCTGCAGTCATGAAAGAACTCAGGTTTGGAACCTTTCTTCTTGCACTCTGGGCTCCCTCCTTTGTTAGTGTTGTTTTAGCCACTGAGACATCTGGTGGGAAGGGCCCCCAGAGCCATCGAGCCATCCCTGAATGAATAGCAAACTCGAGCCCAGTGATTCCTATCTGGGACAATAGCCACAGCTCCAATTGCATCGCTGAGATTCTCTGAGCTCGAGGGCCCCCAATTCCCACTCTGGATGCCCCCAGTCTTCAAGCAGGGCTGAAGAACGAGCCCAGATCCTTTTCTCTTTGGCTCCTTCAGGCTTTTGTATTCCCTGAAGGCAGATCTCTGGGGGGCTCTAAAGTATCCTGCCCCCAGACCCCGGCCCAGAAAGTGGAGAAGCCCATCGGCTAGGCTTTCACCTAAAGAAGACAGCCATTCTTCCTCTGGAGAGATGGGGGCGATAAGTTTGAATGATCGCTCAGACATCCCCTGCTGCCCCACCCCCGGAGTCTCCTCACTTTCCCATATGTCACATGTCACATTCCACTCACGCCAGAAGGAATGGATTGAGAGGAAGAGTGTGTGACTTGGTGAAGCAGCTCGCAAGCACCCAGGATGCCCAGGAGCCTCTGGAAGCAGCAGTTGGTCTCCAGCGTCTTCCCCTGAACCCCTAGGAACATGTAGGGTTCAAGGGCTCAGTCACAGTCCCAGAGGGGAAAAGGCACGTGAGTGCGTAACTGGCAGCCAGAGAAGAGTATCACAATGGGAGGAGTGTGTTGCGTAAAGCTGGGTGAAATGTGGCTTGGGGAATTGGATGGGAATCAGATGCATTCATTGAGCCACGCCACGCATTGCTGTCACGTATTCATTCACTGAGGCAGTAAATCCTCCAGGGAGAAGCAGTCCTAGCCTGCCGTGTGCACCAGCAAAGGGATGTGGCTTAGCAGCCAGAAGGAAGACCACTGCAAGTGTGCGCCAAAGCCTAGACCCAATCGAGGCAAGCTGGACGCAGGGGTTCCCAGCAAGACAGGGTTAGCCGGGGTGGCTGCAGTGACTGAGAACGGTATAAGGTGAATGTCAGCAGTGCGCAGGGTCAGCGAAGGCCCGAAGTCAATGCGAAAACCCCAAGTCCGTCTCTAGTGTAGAGGATAGAGAGAGCCAGATGGAGGGAGGAGAGGAGCAAGTGGCACAGTGACAGCCCAGGAGCAGCCACTGGGCTTTGTCGCCACTTTCTAGAAAACCACTTTCCAGTTTCTAAAGCACAGAGGGCCTGGAGGCTTAGAGGCCGAGAAGCAAGAACTGGACACATGGGAACACTCTGAGGATGGTGTGGGGGCACAAGTCCTGGTGAAGGGAAGAAGCAGTAGCTACTACTGACGGAGTCCTGCTCTGTGCCAGGCACTGCTGCAGATGCCCCACACGTATTAACCCATTTCATCCTGACAGCCACTCCAGGGTAGGCACTGTTGCCACTGCATTTTATGGGTGAGGACACCAAGGCAGAGTTATGCTCATTGGTTGCGATCACTGGGCTGGTAAGTTGCGAAGCCAGGATTGACATGGAGGCATTCTGCTCCAGGGTCACCACCTCGCCGGGCCAGGCCTTTCCAACTCGGCCCCTCTCTCCTTGGCTTTCTGCAGAACCTCGTGATGTTCCTGAGCGTCCTCGTGGACTGGATGATTCCAGATATCCCCACGGACATCAGCGACCAGATCAAGAAAGAGAAGAGCTTATTAGTGGACTTCTTCCTGAAAGAGGAGCACGAGAAGCTCAAGCTGATGGATGAGCCGCCCCTGAGGAGCCCAGGAGGTGGGGATCGAAGCAGGAGCCGGGCAGCCAGCTCAGCACCTTCAGGTCAAAGCCAGCCGGGCAGCGTGATGTCGTCAGGCTCTCGGCACACCAACGTGTGAGCAGTTCAGCCTGCAGCAGAGGAGGGCACGGTAGCAGAGACACGCACGTGCACACAAGCGCGTTCCTACCCCCACACGGCGTGCTGTCTGTCTGCAGGGGCCCGGCTTGATGGGGTCTTAAAGAGGGAATATGTGTAGAAAGAAAGAGGCTGAGAGAATGGGTGTAGGAAGGAAGAGAAATGATGCTACTTTGCAGAAACTTCAAGCTTAAGTTTCTTTTAGGTCCTCTTTTAAGCTGCATCCTTTTGAGGTATCGGAAGCCCACTGGGGTCTCTCCACCCCAGAGTTCTCAGGCACTGCAAGCATTCCCACATGCCCTGGGGCACCCTCCTGTACTTCACCATCATTTCTGACTCTGACCAGCTGTAAGAGAAATGCAGTCAGGAGCACGGCATCCCCTACCTGCTATCACTAGTGACTCAGAAAACTGAGTCACTTGCAATGGGGCTGCCACAGTCTCAGCAGATGCAAATTAGGTTACAGGGCTGAATGGTGCAGCCGCTGGACCTGATAGGAAGATGCAAAGGTCCAAACCTGGGCTTGTCTCCAGTTCACGTCACAAAAACATTTGGAGCTAAATGCAAGTAACTGTCATTTTACGAAAGTTCAGATTTAAAATAATAAAATAAATGGACACGTTCTTTATAAAGATGCATCTGTTGTCTTTGATGCCTTGTCTCTCCGTTTCCTTCTTTCTTTCCTTCCTTCCTTCCTTCCTTCCTTCCTTCCCCCTCCCTTCCTTCCCCCTCCCCTTCTCTCCCCTCCCCTCTTCTCTCCCCTCCCCTTTTCTCTCCTCTCCTTGCCTTTCCTTTTGGTATTTATTGAGGTTCTACTGTGTGCCAGGCATTGTTCTCAGACTGGAAATACAGCAGAAGATGAAAGAGACAAAATCCCTGCCTCATGAAGCTTACATCCTGGGGGAAGACAGACAGTAAGCTGAATGTACAGTGTTTTGGATAGTAATAAGTGCTATGGAGAAATATTAGGTAAGACGAGCAGACAGGAAGTGTGAAGGCACAGGAGGTAAGGGGTTTACCATTCTAAATACAAATTAATGACAAACCCCAGATGGTGAAGAGGTTACATCTTGCAATACTAACATAATCAAATAGGTAGCAGCTTCCCAGAGCGCCATGCTGAGAACATGATGCAAAGTCGGAAGCACGGGCCAAACATCACTCATCATTGCCTTTCCTACACCTCAGGCCCACCTGCTGCCCAGAAATCTGGTGCACAATCGCTTCATCCTAGTTCCTTGCAGGTCAGCCTGGCTAGAGTCCAACTGAATGCCTGAGTGAAAGCTGCAGGGGGGATGGTGCTTCAGGGGAAAAATGAGGGCTATGGTTCTGCTGTTTCAGCACACCTGGCAATGTGCGGGCCTGTAGGTGCTGGCTGGTCACCAGTGCCGCCCATCACGTTTCTGGTTCCCTCCTAGGAGCGTGCAGAATTGCGTTGACTGCGAACCCGTACTCAGGAAAGCGGCTTCTTCTTCTGTGGGGATAACAGGATGTAGATGCAGTTCTTAGTGAGAACAGTAGGCTAACATGCTCCAGGCCACTCCTGGACAGGAAATCTTACAACCAGTTTTAATTTCCTCACTTTTTTTTTTTGAGAGGGAGTTTCGATCTTGTTGCCCAGGCTTGAGTGCAATGGCGCGATCTTGGCTCACCGCAACCTTCGCCTCCCGGGTTCAGGCGATTCTCCTGCCTCAGCCTCCCGAGTAGCTGGGATTGCAGGCATGTGCCACCAGACCTGGCTAATTTTGTATTTTTAGTAGAGACTGGGTTTCCCCATGTTGGCCAGGCTGGTCTTGAACTCCCGACCTCAGGTGATCTGACGGCCTTGGCCTCCCAAAGTGCTGGGATTACAGGTGCAAGCCACAGCATCCGGCCTCTCACATCTTAATATGCAAACTTACCACTTGAGCTGAGGTTCAGACTACAGCCGTATGGAATATTGCACCATTTGACAACAGGCTTTACCTGATTTGGGGAGAGTGCGGTGACCAGTGGGAGGAAGATGTTATTACAAGGAGCACTGATGACATGGACATTCCAGGCCTATCAAAGGAAGCAATCCCCAGGGATGACTGCCAGTGTGGGTGGCGTTGACATTTGCAGGAAGCAGTGACAGTCCATGGTCAAGGTCAAGGGCTGCCTCCACCGCCATGACACCCACTTGGCTCCAATCGTGCTATCTCCAGGCCCCTTGGCTGCTCGTGGCTGGTTCAGGACCCGCCTGTTTTTCTTCCTCTTTTTAAAATTGAAACATTTTTGTATCATCATAAAGGTTAAGCTTGCATACCAAGAAATATTCAGATAGTCCAACAAACAATGAAGCAAATAAAATCACCCATAATCCCCAAATCTATAATCGACATTGGCACTTACTGTGTCTTGGAGACTCTCATCCCCCCCGCACACACACATCTAATTTCTTTTAATCACAGTTAATGCTATTTTAAAGCAGAAAAGTATCTTGAGACAAGTCGCAATCAATTTGGAAGTTTATTTTGCCAAAAGGTGAAGGACTTTCCCAGAAGGAAAGAACATGGGATCGCAGAAAGTCTGTGGTCTGTGCCTTTTTCTGAAGATGATGTTGAGGGTTTCAATATTTAAAGGGGAAAAAGTGGGCTGGGGGTAGTTAAAGGGGAGGGTGTGATCTCATTACTGAATCCACATGTCACAAGAGAAAAGGAGCAGTTGGGAGAACAGCCCATTATGTGTTTTTCTGGTGCTCAGTAAATCGGCATTTCCCGTAAGATAGGGTAAACAGAGAGGAGCTGCCTAGCCTTCTCTGTGTAGCTCTCTGCTTCGGAACAAAAGGAAAGGCAGCTTCTTGCATGACTCAGCTTTCAGCTTCGTTTTTCCCTTCTGGCAGATTGCTTTGGGGTCCTGAGTTTTTATTTTCCTTTCATGGTATATATGCTGTCTTTTCATCTTTTTTCACTTCATGTATCTCATCAGCCCTTTTATTCCAATAAACATAGATTCATCCAAAGTGTGTACTGAACCCCTATGCGTCAGCCTCTGTGAGGCGCTTTGGATGTATCACCCAACAAAACACAGATTCCTGCCCTCAGGAGCTTAGGCTGTGTGTGTGGGTCAGAGAGGCAGAGCCAACAGTGCGAGTACACTATTAATACACAGTGGGTCAGAAGGTGATCACTGCTGTGCAAAAAGAGAAAGAAGGGCAAGGTAAGGGTATTGGTAGTGAGGGAACAGGCTCTCTGGCTGCCAGCTCCAGGAACCTGCAAGTGTTCAGCTGTCTGGCAGTTCTGGAACCCAGTCCGTTCTGGTTTTTTTGGAAGCTTCATCAGTAGGCAGGATTGGTTAAATCATTGGCCGTCCTTGAGCAACTTAACCTACAGCCCCTTTCCCCTCTCCAGATGTTAGGGGTAGGGCTGAAAGTCTTAACCCTCTGATGCTGCCTCCATCTTTCTGGTGACCAGCTCCATCCTGAAGCTACCCAGGGTCTGCCAGCCATCAACTCATTAGCATACAAAATGACACTTCACTTTGGGATTCCACTGATTTTAGGAGTTACGTGGCAGGAAACAAGGATGAAGACCAAGTGTGTACTTCACTATATTACAGACCAGAGGGAGATTTTCACTTGCGAGGGATTCAACTTTCTTCCCCTCTTCCACCAGAAGGAATACAGGAATTTTATAATTTGTCCCCATTCCCCAGGCCCAAAGTCTCAGCAGCACTCATGTTACTAGCCAGACCACCAGATGTGCTTGCTTTACCCCAGCAGCAGTAGGGCTTAGGCTAAGTAAAGAGAACTTTCCAAAGGACTTGCTAACCTGGGTGAAGACATGGTAGGTGCACTCTTAATTTGAAAATAAAGCAAACAATAAAGCCTCCTTCCCTGAGTCCTTTAAGGAAATAATGAAAAATTTTTATTCTATTGTGACATGCAAAAAAAAAAAAAAAAAATCTGTGAGCAAAAATCTGAAACACTAAAGAAAAAGATATTGTTCATTATCCAATTCCTCCTTTCTAGAAATAATAGTAAATATTTCAGTTTAATTGTGTTCCTATGGTATACGTACCATAACATTCGTTGATTCGTAACAGCATTTATTTTGTTTAATTATAAAAGTGATCCATGCTCATTGAAGAAGGCTTAGAAAATGCAAGCAATAAAATGTCAATTGAAAAGTTTAAATTACCTGAATTTTTACCTCCAAGAGCTAATTTGCAATCAGTCTTTTCTTCTATTCACTCATTTTCATGTACAATTGATTGCAGTCACTCCACACACATTAACTTGTAGACTTAGCTAGCAGAGAAATGTCTACCAGCCCCAGGTAGACGTTATTATGAAGGGTTTATTGACAAACAGTGTCTATCACTGAGTGGTTTCACCATTCTTATGAAAAACAAAAATAAATGGAATCAACTTGATGGTTGATTCAAATAAATAATCTTAAGGGTCTTTTCTTTATGTGCTCTTTGTGAAAAAGAATAGCGTAAAGTAAGAGATGAGACTTTCCTTCACATGCTTTCCTTCACAGTCCTTCCAGATCCAAAGGGTCTATTATATCCCACTTGTGATGATGGAATTATTCTATCCTCAAGAAAGCTTTTAGAGATGCAGAAAATTATCACTACATCTCCGCTCAGTAAAATGGCCTAATTTTGCTTTTCAGTAAGAGAAATGGGAGTTTTTTGTTTTGCTAACCCTCCCAGCACAATATTCTAATCTTGCAAGTGAGGTTAGTCATTGTTAAGAAAAATAGAAAGGGAATGTGCCAGTTGCTGTTCTGAGTGGTCATAAATTGTAGTAGGACAGTCTGATAGATGCAGGAGGAAGATAAGGGGGATGGTCCTTGGAGAATCTTCCACCAGCCTGTGCACTGGGAGGAGGGGGTGGAGACTCAGGAAGTTTGCAGAGGGAGGAGCCCAGCCTCCCCAGTTCCTGGGTGGTGACCTGGGATTCAGTCTGTGAGAGGAGGGTCTGTTAACAGGAGCTCCTCTCACTCTGCTGAGAGATTCTTCCCTTTTCACCCAATAAACCCTGCCCTACTAACCCTACAGTGTGTCCACGTGCCTAAATTATCCTGGGCATGTGACAACAATTTTTTTCTACAACAATTCCAGCAGGCTGTGGAAGGCATTTCCTGGAGAGAAAAAAAAAAAAAAAAGATGGGAAACCAAGGGACAAATCTTTGCCCCATGGCTTATTTGAAATATATAGCCATGTGGGGTTTGTGGTTAAAAATGAATTGGGAAAACTCTTCGCTCTTTTTATGTTGTCATATCTGTCTCTTAGTTCACCTGAGTACACCTTCAGGTCGAAAAATATTAACAAGTTGGTGTTAAAGATGCCATCAAAGTCCCTCAGGACTTAGGTGCTCATTCCCCCAGCTGGTGATGGTCACAAGTGAGTCACTGTGGAATTGCCTCAAGTGTAAGGGAGTTGCCCAGGCCATGGTCACTGTCCCACTCTGGGGCAGCCCACATCCAGTGACTCATCCCCGCAGGGAGATAAGACCCACCCTGCCTTGATTCTAACTCTAAATGCTACTCCAGCTCCAGAGCTTTCTGTGGGATTGTCTGAGGGCTCTGTTGCAACATATTGCGGTTCAGCTTCTCCCTCTGCCTAATTCTGCTTCCCTCACTAAGCAGATGCCCCAGGAATCT